GTTTTTATAAAGTGATTTATAAAATGCCCAGAGCAAAGCAAAAACACAATCTTTCTTCCATATGCATATGGTAGGTGCGTACCTAGAAAATTCAGAACCTATTGAATTGGATAAAAAGATGTTTTCCTATGTGTAGTCAGGGTCTAGGCTCAGATCATTATAAACATGTTTTCCACTTGTATGAATAACTCAAAGGACACACAAATTATGTGGGGGATGTGAGGACTGTCATCACATCGCAGGAAGTCTGCCAACTCTGGCTTTTGTTCAGTAAATACTATAGTGCTCCTCCCTCCCAGTCATGCTGACAGTAAAACGCTCACAGATTCCCATAGACCCCGGCAGGGACACTCCTCCTGAGAACCACTTTTAAAAAGCAAACGGAATATCTGTCTATAGTATATTTATGTCTGCATTTTACAGAACTTGCATCTGGAAATTTTGTCCACATTGGCACTTAGAGATGGACCATTCTTTGTAACAGCTGCACGTGTTCTGATGCATCCGTGGGCCAGCATTTATTGACGTCTTGATGGTCACGTTGACCTTTTCTGCTTCTTAATACAAACAGTGCTGCCAAGATGAGACCCTTCTACATTAGTCTTTGAGTACTTGTGCAGCTGGGTCTCTAGGATAAGTTCCCGCAAGTCAAAAGGTACATATATATATATATTTTTTCTTTTTATAAATTTTTTATTTATTTTTTTGTTACAGATATTTTACCTTTTTTACCCCATTGGCACCACCCACCCCACCCCACCTCCGCCCTGTCCCCAGCTTAGTTGTCCATGTCCATTATCATGCATACATGCATATAAGTTCTGTGGTTTATCTCTTCCCACCCCCCCACCCCCTCTGCTGAGGGATGTCAGTCTGTGCCCTACTTCCATGTTTCTGGGTCTATCGTATTTCTCAGACTGTTATGTTCATTATATTCCGTATATAAGTGAGATCATGTGGTATTTGTCTTTTTCTGCTTGGCTTCTTTCACTTAGGATAATACTTTCCAGGTCCCTCCATGTCGTCTCAAAGGATAAGAGATCTTTCTTTCTTGCCGCTGCATAGTACTCCATTGTGTATATGTACCACAGCTTTTTGATCCATTCGTCTACTGATGGACACTTGGGCTATTTCCAGATCTTAGCTATTGTAAATAGTGCTGCTATGAAATTGGGGGTACATATATTCTTCCTGATTGGTGTTTCAGGCTTCTTAGGGTATATTCCTAGCAGTGGGATCACTGGGTCAAATGGAAGTTCAATTTTTAATTTTTTGAGGTAACACCATATTGTTTTCCATAGCGGCTGCACCATTCTGCATTCCCACCAGCAGTGTACTAGAGTCCCCTTTTCTCCACACCCTCGCCAACACTTGTTGTTTGACGTACATATGTTTTTAAGTTTTTATATATGTTGCTGAATTGGCCCTACAAATTATAGCTAAATATATACCTAATTAATAATGGTGGATACGGTTGCTTGTTTTCCCATGACTTCCTCCCACTAGACAAGGTTTTAATCTTGGCCAGTTGGTATTTTAAGGATGGAAATGAAGAATGATAAATGTCCGATTTAAAGCCATTTTCTGATCATTTTATACTACCTAGTAGTCACTTCTCTTTTTATATAAGACATTCATGTGGGAAGGATTGGACTTTCAGTGTTTCCTAGGGTGGAACAGGGTGATGAGTGAAGTCAGACAGACTCACACTTTGGCTCTGAGGACGTGAGGACTTGCAGACGGCAGCCGTCGGTGCGGCCTGCTGCCAAGGAAGGAGCTCCCTCCCGCCGCGGGAACGGACAGCTCCGGGTGTCCGGAAGACAGGTCTGGGTTTAGTGGAGTATTATACAAGGTTAACACTTCTGAAAATGCAGTACCTGGACCCTTGGTGTATGTGGGATGACTTTGAGGGGGTATAAACGTTTTAAATTTTAATTGGTTTATGTTCATTTTTATATGTATTTTCGATGTTGCTTTATTACTAGCAAATGATACACTCTAAGGTGCTAAAATTATAAATAAGCCTTGGGCAATAATGTGCCTGATGACCTCTCAAGCCTCCTCAGTACTGAGATTCTGCAGCTGTCGATGTAATCTCGATATTCCTGAATTATCAAATAGCAAAATGACTTCTCAGCCATTTATTACAAGCAATTTAGACACAAACCAAGTTTATCATGGCGGATTTCAAGTATTAGGAGCTTGGTGGAATCCCATGAAAACTGAGTTAAAAATGAGATTCCTCAGCCCAAGTGAAGACCCATCCTGAAACTACACACCTCAAAAAAAGTGGCTCCTGGCACCCCCTTGACCCATTGGCACCTTTTGCAGGCCAGGGCCTAGGAAGAGAAGAGCAGGCCGTGTCTTCGCATCCCTCTGTGGCTATCCTGAGACCACCAGCCAGTCCACCGTGTTCAGAGGTGAATATTTATTTAACTCATTTATAAATTTTACATGATATCCATGGTGCTATAAACATAGGCACATTTTTAAAAACACAAGATACATTAGAAAATGACTCCCTCACCCCAGCCCACTCCAATCCCCTCAAGATGGCATATCTAATATTTGTAAAACAAGGACCAGAGAGGCCCTGCACATTCATTGTAGGAGTGCTTCTGACCTTAATAGTCATTCCTTCTGACTTCAACCAAGAAGGGTTAACAAGCTTTTAAACAAAGGAGCATGCATTTTTCAGCCTTTTAAGTCCATCAAACAATAGAATTAATTAAATGCCTCTGCCTGGATATTTTTGAATAAGTGTATGGTTTTGTTTCTCCTACTTAGTTCAAGTCAGAAAAAAAAATTGGTACCTATGTTCCCATTGGCCTTTACCATCCTTATGGGATGGTTTAAAGATGTCATTACAGTGAACAGCTCACCTGAGCACATCTCTGACAAATAGGTAGCTTTCCCCGAAGTACTATTTTCTGTTGGTTTGCCCTTAAAGGGACAAACATTGTGAATTTAATAACCCATTGATTCACATAAAAAACAGACTGAGCACAGAGAGAACTGGGCAGAGACAAGTTCCCCCCCAATGACTCAGCTGACTCATCGATTTACCAGGCATGATCCAGATGTATGACTTTGTGTCATTCACGATATACGTAACACGCATCAAGACAAGATTCAGACCTACACCGTAAAGTCACTGTAACTTGTGGAATTCGGAATGAGAAAAAATGAGTGTTTGGAATCGATTCGTCACAGACACTCTGATAGAACACACTAATTGGAACAAAATAAAACGATTCATATATATAATTCTCTTAGTAAAATTTTCTGTTTTTGCTAATAACATTTTAATTCAGAAAATGCATTACTTTTATTCAAATATATTTTTTCTAAAATATAAATATTTAAATTAAGTTTTTATAAATGCAGAGAATGTAGTTTCTTTTGATTCCCCACCCAGATATTAATCAGTCTAAAACTTAAGTGATGAAGAAATAATACTTGTAAGTATGATCACTTTAATTTGTCTATAAATATATAATAGGATCTTTGCAACTTAATTATGAGTAATTAACTCATACTTCATGTACTACTGAGCACCTTAGATTACATATTGTTGAATTAAACTATTGGCATTAATATATGTATTTTAATATGTTATTTACAATCACAAGTATAATTCTCTTGTATAACAACATTCCAGTGATTTTGAAAATATATAATGAAAGAGTGCAGTATAATTTACAAATGCATCAAAGCTTTCCTTACAATAGTCAGCCTGGGACTGGACATTCTTCAGCATTTTAAATGGGGAACAAACAAACAAAAAAATCAGTGTTCTAAAATTTTCCCAAAGTCATACTTTTGTTTTGTTTTGAAACACTAGCTCCCAAGATGCTCAGTTAGAAAGGAGCTCTATAGGTAAACTTAGGAGGCGGCACGTGGTCCCTCCCGAAGAATCACAATGTACATTCAAGTCTCCAAGGAGGCTGAAATCTGTTCAACTTTTTTTAACTCGGTATTTCGCAAACATTTTTTATTACCAGTGTCTCATTACCACCACCCCCAAAAACACCACTCAGTGCTTCTTGGAACTAGTGTTACATGGTACATATTGGGGAAATACTGATCTAAAATAAAACTGCAACTCAACAAACACTGTCTGAGTGCACAAAATCACATTTAACTTTTCCACTTTTTAAAGCTTTTTGCATAGGTATTTACCAAAATATGATCCTGGAAAGAAAACACACACAAATCTAACTGAGGATATTTGTCCATGTAAACTGTATGGAAAAGAAGGGTTAAACATGCTTACAGAAATTCTAAAGCTAGTTTTCAAGGTTTGAGGAAGGTGACTCCTAGTCAAATATTAGGTGTACTTTTAATGAATTTGTTTTGAAAGATAAAAGCATTTAATCAGTAATATGATATGGGGTGTCTGAAAATATTCTCATAGAAAAATATCAGGTCATTGTATTATTTCCCTGGAATTCTGAAAGAGTTGCGGATGCTATCAATAAATTTGATTATAATGCTGGGTCTCTATCTAAAACCCAGTATTATCAAGAATGATATGAGGCTGCTCTATTACTGGTTCAGAAATGAATGCATGCATGCAAGCATAGGCAGAAGCAAGGTCACCAAACTGCTCAGTGCTTCCGCTGAAAACCACAGAATGGGGATAATTAGTTAACGTCACGTGAATTGTACATATATGCATGTGTGTATGTGTGTATCAAATGACGGTCTTTTAAAAAAATATCCCTACTTTGCTTTCTATAAATAAAGCTATCGGTCTCGGCTGTACAATGGCAGACCTTGGTGTGGGTGCAGCCCAAAATTAAGCATCTTTCAAGCATAGCACTCTTCAGCAAAGCTTTGCGATTTAAGCAGTCTACTTTGGCTCAGATTCCACCAGCTTACAGCTCAGATTAGTATCTGAGGTTTTAGTTCCTGCTCAGCATATGCTAATGAGAACACTTCACAATCTGTCTACATGGCTGAAGGATAATTCATTAAGAAGAAGTAACAGCTGCTTCATACTTAAAAGGTGGGTTCCCATTTATTTTTCTTTCCTTTCCAGGGAAAGTCAACTCAGAAGTAGGAAATAAATCACAAACAAAGGGCGGTTATGGGGAGGTGAGAGGTGGAAATGGCCATTTCTCATCTTGCTACTCAGCCCTTGCTTACCTGGGTGAACCAGTTGCCTAGAAACTGGTCTGATTAAGATCTGCGCACGCGGTTCTGCTTAAGGTCCTTGATTGTCAAAAGCTAGGCCGTGTGTTTCCAATCGCCCTCTCTGCACCCGTTTACTGCTCTGAAAAGACAGTTTATGCTGATGTGCCCTGCGGTGTTTTCTCAGGATGCCTCCTTGTAGTTGGTGGACCGACAAGAGGAGTCTGGGACAGGGACGCGGACTCGGGGTCCAAAGCTGACCGGCAGGCGAGTCTGATGGCGCTACCTGGTGGCATCGCAGCCCTCCTCCCAAGGCAGGTCGCCCTCTGCTCAGGCCACCAGGCCCAGTCTTGTAATCTTAGCTGACAGGAAGGAATGGATGATGAAAACGATCGGCTTGGGGCAGGAATGAAGGTCCAGTTGCTGAAATTTGAAAAGAAGAGAGCATGAGAGGTTTGCAAAGGAACGCTTGGCACAGACGAGCGGTTTCCACATCGAAGGGATCTGTGCACTTCCTGCTTTTTCCCCCAAACCCCACCCCGAGGACATTTTTACATTTATCTTCAGAACAGAGTGGGAAGGAGAGAGAGAGAGAAAGAGAGAAACATCGATGTGAGAGAGACACATCGACTGGTTGTCCCCCGCTCGACCCCAACCGGGACCAGGGACAAACCACAACTGAGGTACTTGCCCTTGGCCAGAATCACACCCAGACTCTGGTCCGTGGGCCGACGCTCTAACCGCTGAGCCAAACCGGCCAGGGTCCTACTTTTAAGAGTTAATGGGGGGCAATGAATGTTTTTAAATCCTTGCTCCTTGATGAGATTAAAAAATAACTCTGAACTGACATCTCATAATGTCTTTTTTTCCTAAATTGGTTCTGTGAAATTTACACCTACCAACAGCATAAATATTGACGTTGTCCTTCTGGACTGCTGTTTATTTTTGGTATCACAATAGTGCTGTTTTTTATGTTGGATTAGGTACAGCATGAGGCAGCACCAAATTTCACAGCTGAAGGTTTGGTTTGAGTCCTGGCTCTGACCCTTTGGAAAAGTCACTTAAAATTTTTCTCGGCCCTCTAACTCACAGGGTAATGAGAATAGTAAATGAGCTACTGTATAGAAAATTCTTCATACACTCCAAACACAGAACCCAATGCTGCTAAGCAACTCTGTCCTTCCTGTCCTCTGTCCTTCCTGACCTCTGTCCTGTACCCTTGGAATGTCGTAGGCAAGCCTGTCACCTGTCTGTTCAGGCCCCTTCTAACGTCTCACCTTTTTTGGTGAGTTCCTACAGGGCCGACACAGGGTGGATCGGGTTGAATTTGTATCACCTGGCCCAGCTCAGGAGCCCTGGAAGACTTATCCCCAGTTCTCATCTGCTGTCCCCAATTCTCTTCTGATGACACTTCTGGTAAATAACCTGAACGTCTATCCAGCAAAGTTAAGGTTTTACATTAAGTTTTTTTTTTTTTTATTATGTGCTAAGTATTTTTTTATATGCTAAGTACTTTTTTTATATGCTGTCTTGATGAATTTTCACAAAATCCCTACGAGGTAGCTGTCGTTCATATCTGTGATTTCTATGGGAAACTAAGATTTGGGGAAGTTGTGAAACCTGAGATCACAGATCTCACCGCACAGAAAGCGTGGACTCAGGTGCAAGTCTCCGACGCCCGCTCGGCTCAGCCCATACTCTAATTCACTGGCAGAATGCAACGTTCGGAAGTCACCTTAAAGGTAACCTACTTCAGTCCCTGTATCATGTGGATGGGGAGACGCAGATCCAAAGAAATAAAGGACTTGCCCAGGACAGGTGGTGAGTAGTGCCAGACCTCGAGAACACGGGGGTCTTGACCCTCAGTTCACTGCACCTCCCGCACCTCTTCTCTGCTCCCCGCCCCACACCGGATGGGCCTGCTGCCTGCTCCCTGAGGTCGCTCAACTGGACTCCTTGGGGGAGTTGCCTTTGAACTTGAGCTTATCAGCCTCATGTACTGGCAGCAAACCTGTCCTTCCTCTGTGCTCCACGTCAGGTCATAATTACAGGCAAAGGGCTGACATTTAGACAGAAGTGATTTCTCTCACAGGCAAAAATAGCCTTGAATTTTCAAGGATAAAACAGGAGACGGGTTCTTGTTCTTTTCGACTTCTCTGTGAGAAAGTACACAGTTGAGTGATTGGCAGAAACGCAACTGAACTAGAAGCGTTCTTACTAAGATGGACTTGCAGATCACTTATTTACTTTTGAGCTGGTGCTTCACACAATTTACTGTTTGAAACATACAAATAAATGACAACCAAAAAAATCCTATGAAATGCTTCCAATGCATTTTAAAAGTTAGAAAAATGACTGGCTGGGAAATGTTCTCCAAAAGTGAGTTTAGATCAGCCCTCATCCTCGGGGCATCAACTCCATGACTGCCTGTGGCTCCCACAGGAAGAAACCTGTATTGTGTTGGGGCTGGTAGCACGGTATGTTCTAGAACAGTGGGGCTGAGACTGGGATGAAAGGCCCCTACGCACTTTTTTTTTAATCCTCACCCAGGGATACTTTTCCATTTCATCTTCAGATAGAGTGGGAGGGGAAGAGAGAGAGAGAAATATTGATGTGAGAGAGACACATCGACTGGTTGCCTCCCACACAACCCCGACCAGGAACAGGGCCAGGGACCAAATTGCAACCGAGGTACATGCCCTTGACTAGAATTGAACCTGAGATTCTTTGGTGCGAGGGCTGACACTCTTACCACTGAGCAAAACCGGCGAGAGCCACTACGCATTTTTGGGTGTGGTCCTGGCCCCTTTCTTCAGTCACCCCCTTCTAGGTAACCCCGAATGTTTTTCAGAGAATTACCAATGAAATAACTATAGTGAGATGGGGTGGGGGGGGGATAGATTGTGGAAGGCCAGTAGCTGAACTGAAATTCCTGGATCTTACAACAGATTTATCTCTGCATTTTATATATCCCCTATCCCTGTTATCAAGTGGGAGTCAATAAATATCTATAGACTAGCCCAGGGACTAGGTAAGACCCAAACAGAGACAGTTATTACGAAATCAAGGTCCTCTGATGGTCTGTGTTCCACAGCTTCAATAAGATGCTCTGTCTTCCTGGGTCCTGTCAAGAACTACACTGGCTAGAACATGCAAGGAAGTGCAGTTCCCACCCTTCGGGGAGCTGAGCTGATGTACCTTCTCGTTGTGGCAGTAATGATCATAGGAGACCATGAATTTAAACGTAGGGGCTTATGCATTGATATGAAAAGCATTACCTCCACTGGCAAACTGGCTAATTTTGTTGCACATTACCTGATATTTTCCCAAATTTCTGGGCCTTTGGCCCTCTCACCACCGCCGCTTCCACGCTGCCCCTCGTCCAGCCCCCGAACCCTTTTGCTCCCGTGAGACCTCCCCGATGGCTGGGACCGTGTGGTTCACGCCCCTGCGTCCCTGGCACCTAGCATACTGCCAAGGTTGATCAGATGCTTGGTACTTTTAAAAAAATAAATGTACATTTTGAGGCTGGCAGTACCCTATTTGAGATTTAATGCTGATTTGTAAAGGATTCTTTCCTTGGATTCAAATGTTCATGTAGTATTCTGGGGGAAAAGAAGTCCGATGTAAAGAACGGTGAAAAAATGGGATTCAATCAGCTTTACAAGGATTGAATAAGACATGAACCTGCAAGTACTTTGTTAATAGTCAAATGCTAAAAAAATACAAGGCAGTATTATGTCTGCAAGCTGTCATATAGGTGTGTTTCATAATGAAATACAGGAAACCACACTTTCTAAAGAAAAGTGCACTTACAATCTCTCCATCTTTGCCTCCAAAATCTAAATACAGCATCCTGATTCCATCATCTGAAGACATTTTCAACTTTTCATATGGAGCCTGTATGATTGTCTTGGGAAAGGCACCCTCCTGAGGTTCAGTGGTGACAGAAAATCCGTTGTCATAATGTATGGTCAGACGGCACTCCTGGTTTCTGCAGGTGCAGGCTGGGGGGGGGCGGGGAGAAACAGTGGAAGTCAGTCCCCTTTCCCAGACACTTAACGTCAAGTTCTCCTCAGTCCCAGGACCAGCCACAAATTTCTTTCTGAAGTTAGAAATTAGTGATTGTTCATTAAAATATTCTCCATGGATTGATTTTGATCTAGTAATTTAACTTGCTCCATGCAACTGAAGGAAATAAAGGGAAAGAAATTCCATTTGCTGGGCTATGCTGCATTTCATCTGGCCTCCAGCCCTGAGCTGACCATCCGACAGCACGGAGGTCGAGAGGTGTGCTCACTCGTCTCGAGCCGAGAACTGGCATCTGAGTCACAGTAAGCTACCCGAATCAGCATCGCACTCCCATGTGCATGCGTCCATGCACTGACACGCACGTCCATGCACTGACACGCACACACACGCATTCATGCACTCACACGCACGTCCATGCACTCACGCACACACACGCATTCATGCACTCACACGCACGTCCATGCACTCACGCACACACGCATTCATGCACTCACACGCACGTCCATGCACTCACGCACACACACGCATTCATGCACTCACACGCACGTCCATGCACTCACGCACACACACGCATTCATGCACTCACACGCACGTCCATGCACTCACGCACACACGCATTCATGCACTCACACGCACGTCCATGCACTCACGCACACACACGCATTCATGCACTCACACGCACGTCCATGCACTCACGCACACACACGCATTCATGCACTCACACGCACGTCCATGCACTCACACTCACACACGCATTCATGCACTCACACGCACGTCCATGCACTCACGCACACACACGCATTCATGCACTCACACGCACGTCCATGCACTCACGCACACACACGCATTCATGCACTCACACGCACGTCCATGCACTCACGCACACACACGCATTCATGCACTCACACGCACGTCCATGCACTCACGCACACACACACATTCATGCACTCACATGCACGTCCATGCACTCACGCACACACACGCATTCATGCACTGAACTCACACACGCGTCTACCCCCAGGTGGAAAGAAGCACCCTCTCATCCATCACCAGAGTTAACCAATCTGACACACCTAAGAAGTCAGGAGTGAGTTGTTCAAAAAGAATTAATTTTTAAGAAAGGAGAACAAAGCTCATTTTGTAGGCAGGAAGGAGTGCCTTTTAAGTCTTCTTAATAAGCCGATGACCTTGGTTTCGGAGAAGCTGTTGAGGAGAGTCGGGCATGCCCCCCTTCCTTGAAAAGGGCCATTTCCTCCCCCTGCCCAGTGTGGCGTCCAGGGGACCCCGGGTGCTGTCCACCTGGTGCCCTCTGGTCCAGGCACCGCCCCGACACCTTCCGATCAGGTGAGGGACCTGCTTCACCGGGGGTGCTGTGCTCGCTGCTCAGAAAGACACCAGCGCTCCAAGCTTACGAGCTGGGCGAAGGGACCGCCACCAGGACCCACGGTCCCATTTAGAAGATGTGTGAATATTTAAAGCCCTTGACCAGAGTTCTGGAAAGGGTTAACCAGTGTTAATTGGAATTTTTCCCCTCCCAACTACCATGTTTAACAGACCCTGGCAAGCAGATGGGCTCAGGCCTCCGTAAACAGGTAAACACGCCAGGACGCTTCATTGGTGGGGTGGGGTTCGGGAAGTCGAGTCGGGCATTATCGATCACTGCACACCGTCATTAGCTCAGCTCAGCTTTATGAACCAGCTGAGTCTCACTTCCCCGCACCCTCCGTGGCTGGACCTTAGCTGAACACGACAGAGGTAGACTGGTCACCACTCAGGTGCTTTAGGTTTCAGAAATCAAGTCCTTTCCACTCTGTGCATGTATCCGCTCACGCTCTGGGACTCAGGCTATGGAGGGAGGAGGACAGGGACCTTGGAGGCTCAGAGGAGTAACCCGGCGGGGTGGCGGAGGCTGCAGTGCTCAGAGGGAGGGCCTTCGAACCGCAGCTCTGGCTAAGGCCCTTCCTCCGGCTCCCATCGGGCGACTTTCAGCTTGCACCTGAGGGCTGATGCTCTCCAAAGGTGGTTTCTCTGCCAGGTCTTAGTCCTTCCAGACAGAGCCCCCAGTAATCCCCATTATCCTCTCAGAAGGGCCCTAGGCCTCTGCCACCCTCCTGTCCAAGGATGACCAAGGACGGCGGCAGAGACGAAGTTATGGCTTCTCATCGAGTCCTCGTTTTGGACAGTTTTCACTTCTGCCACCAGCAAAATATGTGCGTGAACGGGCGCTAACTGGGGGTTTTTCCTTCCTTCCTCTATGTTCGGACGGTAAAGCTCTGCCATCGGATGTTCTGAGCGAACTGGCTGTGATTACTTTTAATTCCCGTTGACTTTTCATGGCCTTTATGGAACAGAATTGGTTGTCTGAAGATGTTCTCAACTCACACAGGCTAAACTGAACACATTATCAAGTTCTGATTTAAACCTAAGCCCCTCCCCCGACCTCTGCAGGCATCGCAATTGGTAACTGGGCTGCACCTTTGTTCATTTCCTTCCTTTTCTCCCAGCACCGGCCAGCGCAGTCTGCACCGTCCTTTGTTATTCTCCTCTGGCTGCTCTGTCAGCAGCCTCCTTGTACTTCTGTTGAAATACGGTTCAGTTTATTGAGGGAGAAGGATTTTACAAAATTTGTGGAATGTAAACTAAACCAAATCCCTCTGCCATCTTTATGCTTTCCGAGAACACTCCTGACGTTGCTGCAAGGAGCCCGACCGTCTCTGATACTACACACTCGGCTTCATGCGCTTTCGTGTTCAGGTGCTTGGGTCTTTTCCAACTCTCGGCTTCAGACTCTGGTTTTCCTCGCCGCACAGAATAGGCTTGTAAAGTAGAGATTCAGTGACACTCCAAAACGGTTTTCAACAATGTTGGAAATATCTGGGGGCACTAATTTGTTTCAGGATAATTTCAAAAAGATCAATTAGCCTGGCAATGCAGCAAAAATTTTACAAAATAACTGGTTTTTCGAATTTGCTTGAGTAGAGGAAATGGGGAGAAACCCTACTACATGTTGATGTGTGTCCCATTTTTTAAAAAAGATTTTTATTGATTATTTAGGGAGAGAGGCAGTGGGGGTGGGGGAGAGAGACAGTGATTGGTTGCTTCCATATGCTCCTCAACCAAGGATGGAACCCACACCCAGGCGTGTCGCCAACTGGGAATCCAACCGGCAACTTCAAGTGCACGGGGCTATGCCCACCGATTGAGCCACACCGGCCAGGGCGTGTCCTGTCTTTTAAAATACGGAGTCCACCTTAGCTAATGTTCAAGATTTTATAGTATATATTTTCTTTCTTCTTTCTTTCTCTTTCTTTCTTTCTTTCTTTCTTTCTTTCTTTCTTTCTTTCTATCTATCTATCATCTATCATCTATCTATCTATCTCTATCATCTGTCTATAACCTACCTGCCCACCGTATGCTTTGGAGAGTGGCATGGAAACTATCTATCTATCATCTGTCTATCATCTGTCTATCATCTGTCTATAACCTACCTGCCCACCTGTATGCTTTGGAGAGCGGCATGCAAACAATTTCTCCCAGCAGCCCGAACAGGGCTGTTGTTTCTGGAACACGGGCCTGAGGCGGGGAAGTTCCGTGTCTCTGGAGACAATGTAGTGAATGAAGAATGGACTCGAGAGAGAGACACAACACGGAGTTCAGGTGAGTTCTGTTGTACACTGGTTGTGTGATCTCGGGCAAGTTACTTAAGAATTTGCTTCCTGATTTGTAAAACTACATTGACAAGGGGATTGTGGGGGTGATTAGATGAGATGAGGCAATGTATCGTGACCTAGGACACACACACACACACTCACACACACACACACACACACCTAACAGTATTTACGCTGATATTTTTATTTCAAATTATTTCATTTAAAAATGTTGGTCTTGTCCCCAATTAGTTCATTTCTCACAGTATGAGACACACTAAGAGACATTGCATAAAATGCTTGGCATATAGCATTCAGTCAACAGTGTAGCAGAGAAGGGTTCTCACACACACACCCACACACACACACACGTGCCTCGTCCCCCTTGGCGCCCTTCGGGAATGCGGATGCGCTCAGTGCTGCCTCCATCCCGCCTGCCTCCCGTTGATGGGGGGTGGGGGGGGGGGCTGCCCACTCATCCCCAGCATAAACCCTCTGCTCCGCTCACCCCACCCAGATGCCTTTGGTTCCGGCCCTTTTTCACAGCCTGATTGTCCAGTTTTCTGATCAGTTCTGTGAGCCTCCTAGTATATGCTCAGTCATTTTATTCTGTGATAAAGTACTCAGGATCAATTTCTGTGGTTTACGAGAATCCTCGTGCATGCCTTCAAGTTCATGCCCCCAGCCGGCCACCTGGGGTTAGAGGCAGGCGCAGCGCATCTGACTTGCCAAATCGCTAACCTTCGTCGAATGAAGACGGGATTTAATCTAAGTTTACCTGTAGCGTTTTAAGTACCCCAGAAGGCCAGCGGTGGAAACTTTGAGGCCCGGGTGAGGAAGAGGGTGACATTGGGAGTCGGAAGCCAGCAGTGCTCACCTGTGGTGACTTCGGTGATGAGCTCAGCCGAGTTGTGGCAACCCTGTACTATGCTCCGCGTCCAGTGGGAGAGGTCCCTGCCGATCTCAGCCCTGAACAGATGGGTTTCAATGCCCTGCCTGGTACCTGTTCGCGTTGCAAAGGACAGATCCACGCCAGCCTGGGGCGATCCTTTCCCTGGACCTGAATGGACCAGCCTGTTTAGAAAGCGAGAGAGAGGGAGAGATCATCAAAGTGGAAATGACTTTAATTACTTGACATGTCACCTGGTAAAAGCCCCCAAGTTGGTGACTTGCTCGCATTCTTCTGATCTGATCTGAACTATCCCCTTGTGATCACCATGGTTTTCTGCCATGTTCCCCTCACCCAGTTCCCCTCCAGCGGTCGAGTGAGATTAAGAAAGTGCCCAATAGCCCAGCTGGTGTGGCTCAGTGGTTGAGCATCGACCCATGCACCAAGAGGTCACTGGTTTAATTCCAGGTCGGGGCACATGCCCAGGTTGTGGGCCTGATCCCCAGTGGGGGCGTGCAGGAGGCAGCCAATCGATGTTCTCTCTCATCGATGTTTCTGTCTCTCTCCCTCTCCCTCTGTCTCTCTCTAAAAAAATAAAATAAAATAAAAAGGAAAGTGCCCAACAACTATGTATCGAGTTGAATATGCAGAGGAGCTGATTAATGACTTCAGTGTTAGACAAATTCAACTGTATTCACTCATCCAAAAAGAAAGACTTAAATAAATGAAAGACACAACAATTCAAATCGTGTGTAGCATCCCCTGTTCCACGCCTGGGCACATACAGGCCCCGGAGTGAGCATGAGACGAACGGGAATCCCCTGCCTCCTGTTAGACTCAGGTCCCTGTTTCTTGTAGTCTGGAGCACGGCTGCACTGTTTGTCTGGGTGTGCGTTTCTCACGCACGTCTGCAAAGCAAGTGCACCACCAAGGGGCTCCACTGAAGAAGGAGCAGCCTGGCCCTGGCCGGTTTGGCTCAGCGGTTGGAGCGTTGGCCTGCGGACCGGAGAGTCCTGGGTTCAGTCCCCGATAGGGGCATGTACCAAAAAAAAAAAAAAGTAGCAACTTGTGCACCTGTGTTAAAGCTTGAGGAAGAACTGGCAACGCTGGACTTCTTGGGGAAAGGAAGAGAACTGTACTTTAAAGGAGATTTAAGGGATTTTCAAGAATGGTTTTTACTGCACACATTGTTCAGAAAATACTTCCTGAAAAGCCAGACTTGGTACCACCTTCTGAGCAGACACTGGCCAGCCCAGCTTCTCACTCTCCCCCTGTGGACACGCACGTCTCTCAGGTCTCGCCTCCTTGGTATCTCAGCCTTCTTTGGGGAGAGACTACCATGAACAACTGGCAGGAGAGCGTAAGTATAATTCAGTACATATTGCTTCTCTCCAGGGGCTTTGCATTTTCAGCCTTATCTTTTAATACAGAAACATTTCACCGGTTGCTGTAGAAATCCCAGGTGTGTCTATTTGCTTGGTGGGTGGAAGGGTTATTTTCTTAGGCAAAGCATTTGTTACTGCTAGATTAAAAAATGCACAAAGGAAGTCCAAAAGCTTATTTTCTCTTATACACTTAAACATTGTAGACCAGAGTTATCAGTGGAATAAAACATTGCAGCCCATTGAATTTCTCGTAACAAGCTTGCTATTACTAAGAGGCCTTTTCTTTACTTGCAAAGTTAGAGGTGTGTACTGCCAACTTGAGGGAAAAGGTTCATTGAAAAAGACTGGGTTATAAAATTCTTTGAAGATAAAGAAATTCCCAAGAGAGAACAATACTGGCAAGAATGTGGAGAGAAGGGACTCCTTGTGCACTGCTGGTGGGTGGTACTGCCATCGTGGATGACCATGTGTGGAGGGTCCTCAAACAATTACAATTAGAACTACCACACAATCCAGCAACCCCACTTCTGGGAACACAGCCAAAGGAAGGAAAACCAGTATCTCAAAGAAACATCTTCACTCCCATGTTCATTGCAGCATTATTCACAATAGCCAAACTATGGAAACAACTTAAGTACCTGTCGATGGATAAACTGATTTTTAAAATGTGGTGTATATATAAATGGAATATTATTCCGCCTTTGAAAATAAGGAAATTCTGACATTTGCAACAGGGTACTAGGCTGAGTGAACTAAGCCAGACAGAGAAAGGCATATACTGTATGATTTCACTTACATGTGGAATCTAAATAAAAATAAAATTCAAACTCATAGAAATAGAGATTGGATGATGGTTGCCAAGGGACGGGCAAAATAGGAAGATAATGGTCAAAGGGTACAAACTTTTAGCTATAGCCCTGGACGGTTTGGCTCAGCGGTTGGAGCGTCGGCCTGCGGTCCAGAGGGACCCGGGTTCGGTTCCCGCTAAGGGCACATGCCTCGGTTGCAGTTTGTCCCCACCCCTGGTTGGTCGTGCGGGTGGCAGCCACTCGATGTGTCCCTTTCACATCGATGTTTCTTTCTTTCTCTCTTCCTCTCTCTCCCGCTCTATCTGAACAGAAAATGGAGAAATGTCCTCGGGTGAGGATAAAAAGAAAAGAAAAAAAAACACAAACTTTTAGCTATAAAATGAACAAGGATCTAATGTACAGCTGGTGATGACAGTTATTAACACTGTGTTGTATACTTGAAATTTCCTAAGAGTATAGATTTTAAGTGTGCTCACCCCCCCCAAACCCCAGTAATCATGTGAGGTGATGTATTCATTAACTTGATTATGGTAATCATTTCACATGTATATCAAACAGTCAAGCCATTGTACACTTCTATATATGATGATATTTGTCAACTATATCAATATAAAACAAAAAGCAGTTTCATGAATCTCATTTAGAGATGAGTCCAGGACAGTGTGAGGAGAACCGTCTGCTCACACGGGCACCCCCACACGGGAACTGAACATGTAGACACAGTACAATTTGTCGAGGGACAAGGGCACTTTGTAGTACGTGACAAATGTAATGGGAAGCTGCCAGAGGGTCCCAAATGTCATGAGGGTAAAGGAAACAGAAGGCATTCTCAGACGCTCAGTGTAGGCATTGTTTGTTTTTTGTTTTTGTTTTTAGTTAAATGCATTGGAGTAACACTGGTCTAAGTGTACGTTTCTATGATACATGATCTGTTCAGTGAGTGCATTGTGTGCACACCACCCAAAGTCAAATCGTCTTCCATCATCATACATTTCACCCCCTTCACCCTTCACTACCCCCACCTCCTTCCCTCTGGGAACCATACTGTTGTCTGTGCCTGTGAGTTTCAGTTTTATATCCTCACTCATATTGCATATGAGTGAAATCATATGGTTTTAGCTTTTTCTGACTGAAGTGTTCGCTTAGCATAATATTCTCAAGGTCCATCCATGTTGTTGCAAATGACAGTATTTCATCTTTTCTCATGGCCAAGTAGTATTCCATAGTATATATGTACCACGTCTTTATCCAGTACTTTATTGACAATAAAGACACTTTGGTTGCCTCCATGTCTTGGCCACCATGAATAATGCTACAATGAACATAGGGGTGCATATATTTTTGCAAATAAATGATTTTGAGTTTTTTGTTTAGATACCCAGAAGCAATCGAAGATCAGGGGAAAATTCATTGGGAAAGGCATAGATAAAAAGCACAAATTTATACTGTTTTCTTAAATGCTCAAAAGTGTTTTCATACTCCAAGGTGTTTAAGTTTTAGTTGCTTTAAGAAATCTATCCAGTTCCTCCTTTTTAACATCTTAAGATCTGTGGAAGTTAGACATATCTGGCAGAGTTCATGGTAAACTGAAAAGGGACTCAGGTTTGAGAAGCATTAAAGCCTGCATTAGAACCTCATCCTGCCATTTGGTAAGTGTTCCGAGAATCATTACCGCATACGTTACTGTAAGAAAATGAAACAATCTAGGTACCGCATGTAGTTTAGAACCATAGCAATGCTCAGGATTATTTCCACCTCCGTCCCATCCTCGGTTTTCTTCCTTTTTCTTTTCTTTTATTGATTTTTAGAGAGAGAGAAGCATCAGTGTGAGAGAAACATCAACTGGCTGCCTTCTGCACACCCCATACCAGGGACTGAGCCAGCAACCCGGGCACGTGCCCCAGCTGGAATCAAACCTGCAACCTTTTGGTGCACGGGACGACGCCCAGCCAACAGAGCCACACTCGCCAAGGCCTCAGTTTTCTTATTTTGAAAGCATAATCCCTGCCTCAGATGATTAGGATTAAATATAATAAAATATATAAAGCACTTATTCCAGTATTTAGTACATCATAGTAAGCATTCAAGAAAAACGAGTTCCCTTATGCCTTCCCTAGCCTAACAGGCTTACTTCTAGCCCCTCAGTTTCCACCCAGGGGACACAGACTCTGTTGAAATCCAGGGCCAGCATAAATGCAACAGAAAGGTACAAGTGAAGTGAGTAAAAGATATACCACCCTCATGGAGAATGTCACTTTTTGTGTGAATTTCCTACCGATACTTGTTTTTTGAGAGAGAGAGAGAAAGACTATAAAAATGAAGCCAGTAATAACTGGAAAATGCAATTTGTTAGAAAATTGACATTTGCTAGGTCTGCGTATAAGGAATAAAGTTACTTAGAGTGTAACAATGTATGAGACCCTTGTACCTAGCCGACCGACACCATGCACGGGGAGTCCTTGATGGGAAACTCGGCATGCAACAGGGAGCAATGTCGAGAACAGAGCCTTGGAGGGAGGGCTATTGGTGTACTTTATTGGTGGTTTTATCACCAGCTTCTCATTGATGGAAAAGAAAAGGAAAAATTCATTTTTCAACTATCCAAGTGTGAATGACCTGGTGGTCATATTAACGGACAAGTTGGTCTGTTATCTGAAGAAGAGCGAACATGCTGAATCATGTGTTCTTTTGACTATGCCAATGCTGGCTAATGAAACCTACAGGACTGTATATAAACCGAGAGTTACAGCAAACCGTCTTTGCTGCTGCCTCATGTCATACTGGGAACAAAGGATCCTTTTCCCACCTTAAAATCAAGTGAACTGTATCAGGTACCCACAGGGTGGGTATGAGATTACACAGACCTTGAACATATATGTAAATGTGAGAAGATGTGTATCGAAAAGCTCTAGATGTGCAATTCAAGTATGTAAAAGAAAAGCTTGGGAACACTTTTATTAAGATGTCGAGAGACATTTGATGGGTGATTTC